CATGCTATGAACTGCAGCTGATCAAAATTTCAAAGTAAGCATACTATAAGAATTGTTAAAAAAAAAAAACAAAAAAAAAAGACTCTGGACTATGAACTCCACAAACAAGTCGCGGCAAAAAATGAACGGCACTTACGTGGCGGAAAATGATAGACTGATCCTCGAATGGAGTTCATCATGAGGTCCGAAATTCAGCTCTGACCCATTCATTTCCCATTTCTTCGGTGGAGTAGTTTATACCTCAGAGGCAGCCGAAATGTAGAGCAGTTTATACCTCAGGCCTAACCGCCGTGCTTGTGCAATGGCTGATACCGTAACACCATGTAGTGAGGGGAACTGGGATTACTGTAGCGCTGTAAACAAATTAACGATGAAAAAATAGCTGTGCCTGTTATTGGACCGGAATGAGGACAAATTTTCACGCGGTTTTTTTCATAGGGACAAAATCTTTATGCATGTTTTAAATATAATGCTCACAAACTCAGATCACACGTATCGGCGATGTATTGGCTCTAAATCCAGGACACTGTATTGGCACAAAGTGTACAGATCTCGGTCCTACTGACCAAAGCTAAAATTTAAAAGCCATAAAGCACTCACTATTTAAGACTCGTTTTTTTTAAAGCACTCACAATTTAATACTCTTTTTTTGAGATGCAATCAGCCAATATTTGTTTTTCGAAGGATTTGTTAAAAAATTCGGTAAGTGACAACACATTTCTAGGAATTTTTTTGGCGACTACACTGAAGTCTGTTTTGAACTCTTTAAAAATTTTGTTAAGAAAGAATATCAATACACTAAAAGAACTTGAATACTAAAGGGACTTGAAAAGGATCGACACAAGTTGCATGGGAAATGATGCTCATTCAGCGCTGATCGTTTCGTATCTCCGCAACCAAAACATCTAGTGAGCTTAAATTTTGTATACTTGCTTTACGACAACGTGCGTGTGGTTATGTAAATATAAAATCAACTTGCACAATCCCTGAAATGCTCTGACCCCGACAATGAATTGAAATTAATATATTATAGCAAAAGACTATCCAACAATGTTGCGGCAAAAAGATTTTCCTAGGGTGAGGATGACAGGATGCTAGAATGAATGCGAGAGGAAGGCTGTTTACGAGAAATACAAGGATCGTTGAGGCCCAGCTCATCCCATGGGGCAATCGATTGCTGCTCAATCGAATTTAGAATAAGAACCAGCTATGTGAAGCATGGAGTCTAACTGGCGAATGGCCAAGACAAAGTTCATTTAAAGCACTTTTTAAACGAACAAAGCAGTGATGCTGAAAAAAAAGGCTTTGGACCTACTGAGGCACGCTCATCCACAAAGCACTTGGTGTATAGATGTACACTAAGTGCTATACATATGTATTTATGTATTTCAAAATAACATCGCTCGGACAATCCGTGTGGGTATCCCATGTTAGTGGCGTTACTGAGATGCTCTAACTTATAGAATCTTCGATTCTGGGCCGCATACTTCCATTAGCACCAACCGCTTGTTCGAGGTTTTATTTTTAATAGTTCGTCTTTCTTATAGCAGGTAAAGGGGCCGAGAAAGAAGAGTTCAGTGGACCTAAGTCAGGGGTTTTTAAAACCATTATTGATGATATGCGTATGCTTAACTGCTTTTGCTTATTATCATTATGGCGCATTTGTCCTGAGAGATACAGTCGATTTTCGTGCTTCAAGCACTTGCATCGTCTGTTTCACTTAGCAGGCAGTGTTTGCACTGAAAAAGTACGCTTCCCCTGAGGCAGGAATAAGGCCAGCAGCAAGCTATTTATGCTTCTTCACTCTTAAAGTCATGTACAGATTTGTAATAGTGGAAAGCACAAAAAGTTTGAAATGCTGAAAAGGAAACGCAGATTTATCTGTACAGAAACTTAGCTTGTGCCTTCTACTCGTTGCTCACTCCGCGCTCTTTTCTCTCCGGTCCCTTCGCGGATTAATCAGGCCGCACCGCTGCTCCGGCTGATTCAAACAAGGGTAACTTAGACGTAATCCCTAATAGAGTAAAGTAATAAATGTGCTCCTCCTGCCAGTCTGTGGTTAAACGCAGCTCTGGAAGACCTCTGC